AGCTTGAATTACACAGCTGAAGGTATCGCCTCCATGGAAACAGATGTCAGACTGTCATAATGGGACAAAAGGATTAAAAATGATGACTGTTTCAGTTCTCTAAGGCCCAACCGAGAGTGGGGAAATCCCAGAGACTTGCACCTGGGAAGGAGGCAAATAATACTGCATCCTGCTGCCTAGGATGCTGGGGATTGCTGAATTCTAGGCAGAGAGAGCATGGAGGACAAAGGTCTCACTCACCTGATATGCAGGCAGGATAACATGGCTGTGGTACCACCTCCAAAAACCCAGACGGTGAAAAACACAATGAGGAGTGTTGTGCTGAACATCATCTGTCTAGCATAAGTGGCTGTGTCTCGAATGGCCAGAGCAAAGGCCATGGCACCTCGCAATCCTGAAAGGAAAGGCAAAGAAGTGAACTCCACTAGCCTGATGAAATCTGCAGCCCATGTTGGCTCCCACTGTCTATCTCCAGCTCCCAAACCATCTTATTTAATCTAAGGTACATACCATTGGCATCCTACAACCCTCTCCCAAGACTAACATGCCCAGTCTTCTTGCCAGGTGACTGCAATCAAGTTCTGATCACCTTTTGCATTTCTACAGCACCTGCCATCAGAGGATCTCAAGGTGCCCTGATGAGTCGAGTGAAGCTGGCATTAATATCCTCATTTTAAAGAGGAGGAAAACAAGCAGTGAGAGATCAAACATTGTGCCCGAGGTGATAGATGGTCTATGGCAGGGCTTAGAAAGTGTCCTGACCCATTAGGCTGTATCATTTTGCATGTGACTGAGAAGACCTGTACTAAAAACTGATACATTTATACTAAAATGTGAATATTCAAAGTGAGGCTCTTACTTCACACGGACCCCAGCCAGGATGTAAGATGAAGGAAGAATGTTTCAGGTTGTTCAAAGGAGTGGTTACTTGTGCATTCATGAGAAGAAGTAGCAGGGAAAAGAGAGACAGGGACAGGGGTAACATACCAGCAAACATCATCATGTGCTGGAGATTTGTTCCAATCTTGTTTCTTCTCCCCAAATTAAGTAAACAGGACAGGGGATAAATATTAGCAGATCTTCCCAGGAAGATGGCAAGCTACATTTGTACACATGTTAAGGTCATTGTTCCTTCAGTTCTTTTCCCACTATACCCTAACAGCTGCATTCACAGTCAATTGCTATTGTACATTGCTATTGAGATGTGTCCCATCCATTGCAATTAATGGATAATAACCCAGCCTCATGTGCTCTGATACCCCACGATAATCATACAGACACAAATATACACAAAAATAAATGGGAAAAAGCATCCAGTGCAAATTAAGTAGAAGGGAAGAGAAAAAAAAATCAACAGTTCTTCATTCCATCTGCACCCACCCACCCACAACTCAAACTTTAACTTCAAAAAGTTTTAGCAGCATGTGTGCCAACTAGCCACAGTTACAGCAACTTCATCTCCTCAAAGGACTTTCTGGAGTTCAAGGTATCCCAACTACCTCCATCCTTCTGCTCAAGTCACACCCCCAAGGGAGTCAGATTTCCAAGCATTTGTAAGCTTTGCTGGAGTTTGGAGGACACGCTCTAAGGAAGGGCCAGGTCCTACAGATTATCCTGTGAAATGAAAGCTGCTAGAGTCCAGTCAGCAGATAACTGCAGTGGAAACTGGCTTAGGGAATGGGGGTATTCATATTTAAATATTTAAATCCCCCGCGGTATTTGCATTAACATGGCTGCCGCTTTTTTCCGGCTTGGAGATAAGCCGGAGAAAAGCGCCAGTCTAGACGTGATTCTCCGGAAAATAAATCCTTTTCAAGTAGGAATAAGAGATCCTCTGGAAAAGGCTTTATTTTCCGGAGAATCACGTCTAGACTGGCGCTTTTCTCCGGCTTATCTCCAAGCCGGAAAAAAGCGGCAGCCATGTTAATGCAAATACCGCGGGGGATTTAAATATTTAAATATGAATACCCCCATTCCCTAAGCCAGTTTCCACTGCAGAGGCACAATATACTACTCTGCTTTCCCCAGGCAGGGCTTTTTTGCTCTCCATCCCTTAGCACATTAACACAACCTTGCAAAAAATCCCCACAATTTACTACACCTGCCACAATATTCATTCTCCAAACCTGAAAGAAAAAAGCTAATGATATTTTACTCATCCATCAAAAATAAGCAACTCAACCCAGGCTAATGGGAGAAGTCAATTTTCCCAGGCTGTACTGGTTTGCCTACAATCCCAAACTGCACTCCTGACAACCTTTGTTCTGAGGCACCCCGATTCCCTTTTATTTGTTGGACCACAAGCCCCCAGTCTGCATTACCACTAGCCCATACAGAACAGCAAAGCCCTTATCACATTATTTGCACCAACTCATGCACTCATGCTGCAGATCTGAGAGCAATTTTTCAGATATTAGCCAAGTTTAAAAGGCGATCCTGATCAGCAGAGACAGTCCAATGTAAATGGCTTGTTCCGCCAGGAACTATTCCATCTTGCAAACACACGACAATCTTGTTCAGTACCACACAAACACATGATAACTCTTAATCCCTCTGCAGCACATTCACAATCCAATGCAGAGTTTCAGGCTGGTAGGGGAATTACAATACGCACTGACATAGAATAAAGTAACCACACAAAAGTTTGGCAAAAGCAAAGACAGACAGCGTGCAGTAAACTGGCATGTGTAGCTACAGCACACATGCCTGCTCTGCACTAAATGGCTGTATGAATCATGTTGCCCTGCACCGTACGCTCCCTAATGCACCCTGACCTATTCCTGCCTGAAACGCCCACTAAATTGGGTTGCTCTAAAGGATACAAAGGCTCCCACTATAAAAGTAGGGTTGAAGTTGTGATTCTGGAAGGTGAACAATGTGAGTCCCATGTAGGAGAAGATGAAATTTTCTGCCAAGAAATTCAGAAGCTCAAACAACTAAAGAAAAAATAAAGTTAGTTAGTGATCTTACAATAAGACAAAAGGTGCTCTCCTGCCTGTAAAATGTATGATTTTACACACAAGTGATTGCTTAGTAAAAGCCAGGCACATTCAGAAAACCCAGCCAGTCCTTACAAAAGAGAGAAAAGTGAATTTGATATTCACAGAGATTGAACAGTTCTTACCTGTTTAGTTCGATGCTGAGACTCTGTAGACAAGTTGTTATACGTATAATGGGCCTGGGTGATACCACAGAACAACACTGCTACCACGCCTGGGGAACAGAATGCCACGTTGCAACTTTTGTATGTAAAATGGGAAACTGAGGTACTTACTTAAATTTTACTGATTTTCATGCAATTACTGAAATTGTAACTTTTGAATTCCTTTCTTCTAGTCTTCTCTCGCAAGAGATTAATGAAATTGACATTTGACATTCCCTTCCTGTAAGTTTTGTGCTGCAGTTTAAATTACTTGAGGCAGAGTGAGATTGCTGCCTGCAATAAATACGTTTGAACTACTGAATGGCTTTCCTATGCTCAGTACATATGTGCTAATGTGTCTCTCAGCCATACAAATTCTTTATTCTTCTACCATATCACAGCAGCTAAAAAGCTGCATCTTCGTTATAAAGCCAGCTGTATCCTACCTGTAAAACCACATGCTTCGGCCAGCAAGAATGTGCTCCAAGACATCAAGAAAAACAAGCCAGTTTCCAGCAAAGGGAACTCACGAAGTTTGGTGAATTTGGTGACGTAGCAGACTGTTAAGGACTATATATTACCTCAGTAGATTGTAGCTACGCTACATTCAACAGATAAACAGGAAGGCTCACGCTATAACTTATCTTCTGATTATTGGACATTTATATGATGGTAGAGCCCATAACTTGGGACACATTTCCAAACAGCAAGGTGAGAGGCAGAGAGAGCCCATCCTAATAGCATGGCAGTGGCAGAGTAAGGACATGGTGATAAACTCTTCTTTTTTTTTTAAACACGGAGTAATAGTGGGAGTTATATTCACTGACTTTAACAGCTGTTGGATCAGTCCTCTGACAATTAACTTCACATAATCTTCAATCCAAGAATTCAGATGTAATGTCAATTTTGGATTGAAATATTTACAGAAAGCTTTCTTGACAACTTACTGTCCCCAATTTGGTAATACACATGGGCATTCATATTTCTGGTGTATCTGAAATCACTGTAGAAATATTTATCTTTCCTTTAAAATGTTGAATGTGCCTGGTATATATAATTGGGCCAGATCCTCTTTGCCTGACTCACACAAGTACTCACTCTGGGTATGTCTACACTACAGCGCTAATTCGAACTAACTTAGTTAATTCGAACTAGGCTAATTCGAACTAACACATCTAGAACTAAAAACTAGTTCGAATTAGCGTTTTGCTAATTCGAACTAGCATGTCCACATTAAGTGGACCCTGAACCGGGCTTAAGGATGGCCGGAAGCAGTGACGGCAGGGCATCAGAGGAGGACTTAGAGCGTGGAGATGCCGTCTCAGGCTAGCCGAGGGCTGCGCTTAAAGGGACCCGACCCCCACCCCGGACAGACAGTTCTCAGGGGTGCCCTGCTTGCAAAGCAGTCCTGGCTTGGAGTGCCCAGAGTGCCCACACTGGGCACATCACAGCACTCGGCCATCAGCCTAGCTGCACTTGCCGCAGGCTGCCATCTGGGGAGAGGGGGCAATTGGGGGGCTGCAGGAGAGCTTCCACCCCCAGAAGCCCACAGAGCCAGCCCAGTCCTCCCCATCGGGGGCTCGTACCCCATTCCTCCCTCACTTCCTTCCACTTACCCTTCCCTAGCCCCTTTTCTTGATGTACAAAATAAAGGACAATTGTGTTCAAAAATGGAATCTGTCTTTATTGAACAAAACTGGGGGAGACTGGGAAAAGGAGGTGGGAGAGGGGAAGAGAGAGGGTGGGAGAGGGGAGGGCAACTACAATGATCAGGGGTTGGGAACAGGTCCCATATGAAGCGAGGCTAAAGAGACTGGGACTTTTCAGCTTAGAAAAGAGGAGACGGAGGGGGGACAGGATAGAGGGCTCTAAAAGCATGAGTTGGGTGGAGAGGGTGCATACAGAAAAGTTCTTCATTAGTTCCCATAAAGAAGGACTAGAGGACATCAAAGGAAAGGAATGGGTAGCAGGCTTCAAAGTAGTAACAGAAAGTTGTTCTTTACAAAGCAAAGAGTCAACCTGTGGAACTCCTTGCTGCAGGAGGCTGCGAAGGCTAGAACTAGAACAGAGTTTAAAGGGACATGAGATCAAGTGATGGAGGTTGGGTCCATGGAGTGCTATTAGCCAGGGGGTAGGAGTGGTGTCCCTGCCCAAGGTTTGTGGAAGGCTGGAGAGGGATGGCACGAGACAAATGGCTTGGTCACTGTCTTCGGTCCATCCCCTCCAGAGCCCCTAGGGTTGGCCGCTGTCGGCAGACAGGCTACTGGGCTAGATGGACCTTTGGTCTGACCCAGGACGGCCATTGTAAGCTCAGGGCTCAGGGTCGGGGGTTTCAGTGGACTACCTTGATTTTCATGCACACCTGCTCCTGGGTGGCCAGGCTGGCAGCTCTCCCACCCTAGACATCCACTTTCCTGTGCTTAGTGCGGAGATCGTGGACAAGGTCCACGATGTCCGCACTAGCCCAGGCGGGGGCCCGCCTCTTGCGGGCCCGGGCAAGCTCCCGGGAGCCGCCAGCCTGGTCCCGGGAAGAGGGGGAGGGCTGGGGGGTATCGGGTGGCTGGCTCGAGCCGTGCCAGGTGCAGGGCCAGCTGGCTGGGTGCTGGCAGGCTTGCACCTGGCACGGGCACTGTAGCCAGCCCGTGCCCCTTTATGGGCTCCGGGGCCAGGAGGGGGGCAATAGAGTTTCCCTGGTGTTGGCCAGAGTGGCCCCCAGGGAAAGCTGGGGAGGGCTAGCCTCCCACTAGTTCGAACTAGGCTTAATCCTCGTAAAATGAGGTTTTCCTAGTTCGAACTAAGCGCTCCGCTAGTTCGAATTAAGTTTGAACTAGCGGAGCGCTAGTGTAGCGCCTATGAAAGTTAGTTCGAACTAACGTCCGTTAGTTCAAACTAACTCTGTAGTGTAGACATACCCTCTGAATTTAACTCCCAATATACCTTGTGTAAAGCTATATAACAAGTGTGAGACTTACATAAACTAAGCTGCACTTTATGAACAAAGGGCATTAGTATCTGAAATCTCCTTTAAATAAAAATGAAGTGGTGTACATTAACTTTCCCAATGATATGATGTTTGTGATGTAGAAAAACTCTACACTGTAAAGAAATCAAACCATATTCAATCAACAATAGTAACATTACATAGCTTGCCTCTAATCACGACTTTATTTACTTTCGTTAAACTAAAACAAAAAATCTTAAAAGCTTATGATTATATGAAACACATTCTAATAATGTGGAATACGCTTTCTGAAACACCCATGGAAAGGATATTAAAGCAGTGACTACTCCAGTAGCAGCTCCCATTGCAAACGAGCCACTGAATATGCCAAGGAAGATGCCAATGGATTTAAACATTGCTGTGACATCAAATGTGTGGCTGTTGTCACCTGCCGGCTGGTATGCTACGATTGAACTGCAAGAAACGAACACTGCTTAGTTTGGAAGGAAAGAAAGCCATGTGTATATGCATGGCTTCTACTGATGACAGTCTTGAAAAGATGGAGGCACATGGGATAAAGGGCAAAAAGGGGACTTCAAGTACTATGCCGAAGTCTTGCTGGGGCTACACCTGGCTTCTTAGCACACATCACACCAGCTTGAGGAATCAAATCAAGCTTTCACAATAACAGGTACTTTTGGACCCCCCCCACCCAAACTACTGAGTTTTGAGGAAGTTTATTCTACTGTTTGTTGCCTGCAAGTAGCCAAGAGGCAGAGCCATTCTATGACCAGACTGACCCCTCAACACAATACTTTTTGGAGCTACCCTTAAAAACCTTGCTGGTACTTCTGCCTAGCCCAGAACGTAACAGCCCACCTGCTTCCTAGAGCAGGTAATGAGAGCATATTATACCTGTGAACTATGCTGGTTTCCCATTTGTTTTGGGTGCAATTCACGGTACTGATTCTAAACTATAGTACCCCATGTGTCCCACCTTCCCTTAGACTCCATCTCCTGAGAGAGCAACATGATGAATGGGTACAGCCAAGGCACATTCACCAACAAGCCCAGATCTTTAGGGACTGGCAGTGGAGCATTTCCATGGAGGCTCCTCCACTCTGAAACTTGCTCCTCATGATGATATGTAATATGCCAGCTTCAGAAACCTTCTTATCCTGGTGCAAGACACCTTTTAGACACAAAGCTGTGGACAATTGCCAGTTCATTTACAACTGTTTGGTGGCATGGGAGGGGTACAAAGAGAAGGGATGCTGCATCTATCTATGATGCCCAGACAACATGGGGATGGGCACATACAAGTCAAACATTCTACCCCTACTGTCATTTGCTTCCCTGGAGGTATAGATTTTAGGGTCAAATTGTACCAAATCTGACCTCATGCATAACAGACCATAGGACTTCCCTGAATGAATTCCCGTTTCCAGTCCCAAAGCGGTGGTTGGACTACCACAGAGCTTTTCTTATACATCCAGTCTCGATTTTAAAATGTCCGGCAATAGAGAATCCACCACTACTCTTGCTAAGTTGTGTCAATGGTTAATTACTTGCACTGTTAAAAATTTGCTCCTTATTTCTAATCTGAATTTGTCCAGTTTCAGCTTCCAGACATTAGATCTTGTTTGTCTGCTAGTCTGAAGAGCCCTTTATTACCATATTTTTGTTCCTCCTGGAGTTACTCATAGCTAGATCAAGTTACCCCTCCCCCTTCTCTTCCACAAGCTGAGCAGACTAAGCTCTTTAAGTCTCTTGCTATAAAGGCTCATACCTGCCCACCCCACATTGTATCAGACGGAGCAAGGGGGGGGGTGAGAGGCAGGAGCCAATACGCGTGAAGAGCCCACTCTCCCAAACTACTGCCTCTCTATCAGAGGCGGCAGTACAGGGGACAGGCAACATCAGCTCCTACCTCTCATGCCCCCCTGCTGCCTCTGCGTAGGGGAAGCAGTGGAGGGGGCACATCTAGTCATTAAGATTAATCGATGAGCCCAGGCTTATTGGTTAATTGTATAAATGATTACATGCTAACATCCAAGCCTCTCTAGGAGAGGCAGCAGCACAGGGGGTAGGCAGCTCTACGGGAGCCAGTGCTCTGAGGAGCCAATTTAAAAGCCGGCTCCCCATAGACATCAGCTTCTGCCTGCCCCCCTCCATATGTGTAAACGTGTAACTGCTAAGAAGTCCAGGGGTTACACTTTTACATAATTATGCATTAGTTAACATCCCTAGTATTGGCTCCTGCCTGCCCCCTATACCGCCTGTGGGAGGCATCAGGGGGGAGAGCAGGTGGCTCAACAGAAGCTGCCTTCCACCTGCCCCCACCCCCACTTGCTGTTTCTGATACTGAGACAGCAATGGAAGGGGTGCATGTAACTGTTAGGATTAACTGATGAGCCCAGGCTTATCAGTTAATTGTGTAAATGGGTAACTAACATCCCTACTAGCAACAGCATTCTGGTGGCACTCAACTCTCTCTCTCTCTCATTCTCAAACGATGCAGCTACCCCAATACTAAAATGCCAAAGGATGCCTACAAGAAATTAGCTTTTGGACCACAACCAACTGTCTCACATTGAACCCCAGCGAGATCAAAGTGATGCACATTGAAAAGAGGAAAAGTTTGAAGAGGCAGCCAAGACATTGTTACCAACTTCCATTGGAGACACACAGCTCCATTTGTCAAAGTGGTGTAAAGCTTCAAAGCTTTGAGTGACTGCTTGTTAACCCTGGAAAGCCAGGTGGCTTCAGTTTCACCTGCAGCTTGCTAGGAAATGCCATTCATTCCTCCCAGATGAGGATCTGGAAATCCATGTATTTGTCCCCTAAAACTCATAGTATCGGAAGCTAAATGTAAAGATGATGCACAGGATTCAGGTGGTATGGACAAGCTTGTGCTCAAGTCCCTCTTCTGGCTCCTGGTCAGCTCCTGATGCCAATTTAGATCCTTGATCCTACTTTTCAAAGCAATTCTTGGGTCAGGTCCACATTACATTAGAGACCACATTTTAACCTATGAATTTGTAATAGCTGCTGTCATAATCAGGAGTGCTGACCAGTACCTGGTGACTAAGGGGTTAACTCTGTTCCTAGCCAGGTATCTGGTCAGTCAATAACAATGCAGGTAGGAATTTCAAACTGGGACAAAGGAGTCTTTATCTTTCCCTCCTTTGTCTCAAAAGCAGAGAAGTTTCTTCCAGGTATTAAGAGAGATAGAAGACACTTCTCTCTCCAAGAACGGACTTCTTACAATGTGTAAGCAGGAAAAAGTTTAGCTAGTCCGTCAGGTTTTGTTGTTTTCCTAGTTTGGGAATTTGGAACTAATGTCTGAGCTGGTTAAGTGTTTGGCCTTCCTTTGTAACTAAGTTTTAACTCAGGGGGTTCCCTGAGAATCTTTATCAATTGGTGGCTCTTCCCATCTAGCCTTACTATGCTTGCAACTGTAGTTTTGTTGTGATAATAAAAGTTTGTTTTCTTTTTTTTTTTAATTAACCAGTACTGGTTGATTTTTGTGTCCTGGAAGGTCTGTCTGTGGGTCCCCTCTGTTTTTCCCAACTCCAAGCAAAATGGAGGTTGGGGCAGGGGAGAATTTTACTTCAGTGAAGAGGTTTCCCAAGTGATCTCTTCCCTGGTTTTTCTTGGAATTATTTGGGTGGTGGTAGCGGATTTCCCCAAATCCAGGTATTAGGATTTTGGGGGGAAGTTTTTTGTACCAGAGCCTGTAGAGTCAAGGTTTTGGAGTGCTTTTGCAGGCCCCCACTTCTGCATTTGTCATGTCACAGTGGGGAACAGCCTTGACAGCTGCGCTCCTCTGGGACAAATTGTAGATCGCAAAATTCAGATGATCTTACTATGGAGCAGTCTTCCAGAAGAGATCAAGCGAACCTAGAACCTGACCATCTTTAGGAAACCCTGCAAAGTCTCTCTCTTTGAGAAAGCCTTTCTGCTATAAGCAATACAATAACTTTTATTTCTAAAGCCTTCCCAACCCCACCCCACAGAATTCAAAACCTGCCCCCATAAAGAGAGAAGTACCAGAAACTCCATGAAGCCCACTAGAAACTTTGCTACTGATTTTCTATGGAGGGCGCTCAGATACCACAGTGACTGACAGTTCAGTCTTTAGCAACAAGTATAAGAACAGTGGTCTGGCCATTTAAATGCCACACATAGTTTCTGCACAGATTAAAACTTTAGCTAAACTGCAGATTGTGGTTTTCTCCTGGCCCATCACTTCACCATAGTCACATTAATACTACATTGAATTTTAACAGGAAACTATCCAATTTAAGGCTTTTTTTAATGCATGCCACAGCACCCTAGTCTAATGTTAACCTTTCTCTAGTTCTTACATAGGCAACAATAGCAAAATACTTCAGCATTTAAAAAACCCGACAACTATGCACACAGTTTTCCCCCTTTTATAGTATGAATGTGAAAGAGCAGAATTTGCTTTTCAAAGCACCTCTTCAGCAAGGAATGACTGAAATCGAGGTATGTAAAGCAAGCACACCATAACCCAGATAGCTATTCAACTCATTCCTTTCCTTTCAACCCTGAAGGGAGATTGGAAATTATTTTACTGAACTTAAAATTTAGGTTGACAATCAAAGGGGTTGGAAAATTCACACTCCTGAGTAATGAACTTAAGCCAACCAAACCCCCAGGGCAGAAGCTGTGAAGTCAACTAAAGAATTCTTTAATCCAGCTCTTAAGAGGCAGTAGCTTTGTTGATGAATTACAGTAACAGTAAAACCCCTTTCATTGCTCCAGGAAGCACCCATACTATATTACAGGGCTGTGTCTACTCTGGGCCACTTATTCCGGAAAATCAGCTGCTTTTCCGGAATAAGCTGCGAGCTGTCTACACTGGCCCTTGAATTTCCAGAAAAGCAACGATGCTCTACTGTACAAAATCAGCCGCTATTCCGGAAAAACTATTCTGCTCCCACTCGGGCATAAGTCCTTATTCCGGAACACTGTTCCGGAAAAGGGCCAGTGTAGACAGCCCAGTAGTCCTTTCCGGAAAAAAGCCCCGATCACGAAAAAGGCGATCAGGGCTCTTTTCCGGAAAAGTGCGTCTACACTGGCCACAGACGCTTTTCTGGAAAAAGGGCTTTTCCGGAAAAGCAGCCTGCCAATGTAGACACTCCTTTTCCGGAAAAACTAAAAACGGAATAGTATTCCGTTTTAAGCAGTTCCAGAAATTCATGCCAGTGTAGACACCGCCCAGCAGTACAACTTCAGCACTGTAGCTGTAGCACTGTACTGCCTGTAGTATAGACAAACCGTAGAGAGGGAAAGCTGTCCCGGAGATACTGAGTCAGGCAGAAGCTAACCCCTACATTCAAATTCAAAATTTTACCAAAGCAGTCTCCAAAGTCTTGGGTTTTTTGGATTAAATAGTCAAAAACTACCCCAGTAAAAGGGAAATAAAACAGAGCTCCTATCACAGTAATGATCTCCAAACTGCAAGAAAGACTGAGTTGACTCCTCTGTCGCACTTAAAAATTAGGTTTTTTTTGTGTCAAGGAAGAAACTACTGTAGCTAATTTACCTAAAGGGAGGTAACTTTGGTCAGTATGCTCTGAGCAACTGGTATAAATCGAATCCACATAAAGAGAAACCCCTGTAGATTATATATTAAAGTCTTCAATGTAATCAACTAATTACAGTAATGCACTCAATACTGACCAACTTAGGGTACATTTTAAAAGTGTGTTTCTGTCTGTTAAGGACAGTTACAGGACCATTACTAAGGGGATGTGAGCAGGTCACTGAGAGCGCTCCTACTCTTGTCACTCCTCCCCATTTCAAGGGGAGAGCTACACACAAACTTGTACCAAATGTAGCTCACACCATTTTTATTCTGGTGCAAATTTTACACATGTATGCTTTTATTTCCAAGAAAGAGTTTTGTTCTGATTTAATTTAATCAGAAGAGGATGTTTATAATCTAAAATATGAGTTTCCACACACAGAACATGCACCAAAGCAACAAAAGGGCTGAATTACAATTGATTTTGTTAGCTAAGTTCACAGAGGAAAGTGAGTGGGTAGACCAGCCCTGAACTTCATCACTGCCATGTGCAACCTATTCCTCTATTTCCACCCAGAACCTTGCAACATACACTCTTAATATCAAGTTTTATGCTGAGACACATCTTAAATATGGCTTGATCATGCAACACTTAATCCTATATTCTGCTGATGGATCCAATATAAAAACAAAAAGATTAATTAATACAAATAGTTTCAGAGACTACAATGGGACATTCAATTCACTAAGTACTGTTCAAATATGAGATGCAGGATTGGTCCACACATTGTAATTAAAATAATCAATCTGGGTTCTCAAATATTTCACAAGATCTAAATTATTTTCTGCATTAATCTTAACCATAAATGAATCTGCCATGATCACAAATACTATATATTTGAAAACAAAACTTCCATGACAACAAACACAAAGAATATGCAGGAAAAATATGTTACAGAATCAAAAAAGGTTGAAAAGCATCCATTTGATGTAGGGAGATGCCGATTTTCTGGCACTGGTGCTCTGAGTTCAGGATATTAACTACAATTGCAACAACTGTCTTCTCAATGCAATGGAAGGTGGAAAGCGAAAGAAAGCTTCTGCTTTCCCAAGTATTTCCACTAGAGGAAAAGCAAATGTGTGTGGGTAGAAAATTATTGGAGAGTGATTTCATCCATGAGTAGCATTAGCAGGATCTCACTGCAAAAGAACAGATATGTTGTTCCTTTTTCACATTACAGGTGGGTGTTAAGATTCCCTATTGACTCAGTCAATAGGCAAAAAAAACAACCCAAAAATGCCACATGCATTGTAATAGCTGTAATTATGGCCTCAGTGTTGCTTTCAATTCCCAGCAGCAGTCTTTCCTTGTGAGGCTAATTAGAGGGTGATTAATACAGAGCATTGTATTGGGAAGATTATTAACAAATTCTGATTATAATAAATATTGACATTCCTAGTTTCTTTGATGTAAGACCGGATGATTTTTAATGTCCAACAAGTGACACACATAACAATTAAAAAAAACACACTTACGAAGACAGCACTATGGCAACGGCATCATTGAGAACGCTTTCGCCAAAGAGAAGGGCATACAGCTCAACATCAACCTGAAGCTCATGGAATATGGCAAGCACAGTCACTGACAAACAGAAAAATAGAGACACATTGGAAAGGTGACATTACTTTTTATATTTACATATACTAAAGCAAACTTATCTTTTTTAGAATTCTGTATTTTAGTAGCCTGCTTCTCAGGACTTCTCTACATTAAACAGAAGATTGCCGCTGTCACAATTATCTTCCGGAGTTCAATTTAGAGAGTCTGGTTAAGATTCACTAAATCAAACTCAGAGAGTGCCCCTGCAAGCGTCGGGTACTCCTGCTTTTGTGTGAAATAAGGGAAGCTGACAGGAGCATTTGCTCCCATCATCCACCTGCTATGAGCACACTGCCAAGCTCAGTTCAAGGTAAGTGAATTCCAGCTACATATTCTACGTGAGCTGGAGTTGCATACCTTAAGTCGAGCTGTCAGGACTAGTGTAGACCTGGCCTCAGTGTAGGAATGCTTCAGGATCTTTCCTGTGCCTCCTCAACATTCTGTTTTATACAGTTAATGTTGATTTTTATGTACAGAATGAGGATGTGTTTTCCCCCTTTATAACACAGTTATCCCCCTTAAAAGTATTTAAAAAGGCCTCCGATCTCAGAAAAGTCCTGATTTTATCATAAGATCCTAAAAGTGCTGGTTAACATTTATATGGACCAACATCTAATGCATACTGGCACTTTCTTTGAATTTTGAGGTTATCTGGAAACAACAGGCCTTCAGTTACTTTGCTTTTACAGCAGTGAAATGGAAAATGTCATCTATTGTTTCTGCAACTGTTTGACTCCTGAGATTGTAATGAAAATGCACCAAGTTTTATGATCAGTCTCATGGGAATCTTAAAAATGTCTAGAATAAGCAAGATGTTATACACTGCAATCCTTGCTCTTGTGTCATGCAAAGTCACATGGAGGCATTTCTCGTATAGACTTGAACTAATGCAATGTGACTGCCCTCTAAACCCCTTTTAAAACAATTACCATATGAAAGGCAAGAGACTCAGATATGCATATTTAAGGGGCTTTAACCCACTTGTACGCTAACAAAGGCATTCAGTGATTGAAATGAGATTCAAATCCACGTAATATTGAAGGAGCATAGGACACAATGATCAGAAACGGGTCAGTTCAAGAAAACATGCCCATTACAGCAAGGGATGCTAAATTATCGCTAAAATGCAGATAAACATGCTTAAAACGAAGTAAATCCCATTGAAGTCAATGAGACATAAGCATATGTATAACTACTTTGCAGAGTGGAATAATCTGTGAAGCACTAACTTTGTGCTCGGTACTGCAGAAGACACAGAATAAACCATCCCAGCACAAAAATATTAACAAATGGACAAGACAAAACACACTGGGAGAACTGGGAAAGGTATTTGAGTTCATATGTTAAAGTGTTCTAGTAAGGGGTAACTGTCAGTGTCACTTGTTGGCAGTATTAACTATCTAGGCACAACTTTTACAATAAATTGAAAAATACCACAATACAGTATAATAATGACCCAAAAGAAAACTACTAATCTATGCTAAGAGGTTATGTTTTGTATCATTACGGTAGAAAACTGAGGTGATTATTTTAATTTTAAATGAAAAGTAGTTGATGGGTGAGAGGAAGAGGCAGAAATCAAAGTCATTCTGGCAAGAGTAATAAGGACAATAATTTTATTGCTCAAGTTGAAAAGAAGGCACAGTCATTGTATTTGCACAAAATCTGCCCAGTTTGTGCAACTCAAGAAGTAAATCTCAACTTTTAAACAGGTCTACAAGGGTTGGCCACTATGGCATATGGGAGGGTGCTTCTCAGCATCGGTAGAATTAGCTGCAGCTAGCTTGCTAAAAATAGCGGCATGGCTACAGCAGCACAAGCTACACACCTGACTGCAACCCCACCTGCCCCCTTGGTTATATACTCAGGTGGCTGGCCTGAGCAACACTTAGCCTTTGTAAATCTAAAGGGATCAGCAGACTGGAATGAGATTTTTTTTTTAAATAATCACAATTTTTCTTGTTATGGTCAGCTCATATTTTAGATTAAGACCAAAAATCCATCCATACAACATTTTGAGGATAGAAATTGTCTAGCACATACCCTGAGAACACCTGGAATGCACACACTTTGAGCAGGGCTGACTGCTTGCAAAGAGTGCTACAGTGAGTGGGCCTGAACTAAATTCCAGTAAAATCGACAGCAAGCCTCCCAATGACATCAGTGAGAGGACAAAGCTTTGAGGGGGGAAGTTTAATATATAATTCAGCTGCGTCTAGACTGGCAAGTTTTCCGCAAAATCAGCTGCTTTTGCGGAAAAACTTGACAGCTGTCTACACTGGCCGCTTGAATTTCCGCAAAAGCACTGACTTCCTACTGTAAGAAATCAGTGCTTCTTGCGGAAATACTATGCTGCTCCCGTGCGGGCAAAAGCCCTCTTGTGCAAATGATTTGCGCAAGAGGGCCAATGTAGACAGCACAGTATTGTTTTGCGCAAAAAAGTCCCGATGGCTAAAATGGCGATTGGGGCTTTTTTGCGCAAAAGCGTGTCTAGATTGGCACAGACGCTTTTCCGCAAAAAGTGCTTTTGCGGAAAAGCATCCGTGCCAATCTAGACGCTCTGTTCTGAAAATGCTTTTAACAGAAAACTTTTCCGTTAAAAGCATTTCCGGAAAATCATGCCAATCTAGACGCAGCCTTCAAGTATTATTTTTCTTGATGGAGATCAATTTTACCCCTAAAAATGAGTCATAATGTGCTTGAACTACAAAACTCAAGAGATGTGGCTTATGGCTTCTTTCCCTCTCTTCCCTCCCACCCAAAACAGAACAGCATTTTGGTAACATGTGAGGGAAAACAATGATCACAATATACCTGGGTCAGTAGCTGATACTATGGCACCAAACAACAGACAATCTGTAAAGTAAAAATCTCCACCAAGTTGCCCGGTTACTTTCATCAATGCTACGCAGCCGTACATAATTGACCTGTTGAATAAGTAGAGACATGAATGGATATTTGAAAAGCATGTGAATATCATTTTAACAATGTGGTTCCCTTGAATTTGCAAGTTTAACATGTAAAGTTACCTCAATATGCAATATTTTATTTAATATATATTTATATTAAACAAAGACCACGGAGTTTGACAGGGTGGGCAAAAGCCCTCAACTCCTATTTAATCCATACACAGTGCTGTATGTGTGGTTAGCAATAAATGAATTTAACATCTGAACTACTCTGTGCATAAAGCTACTTAATACACAGAGTTTGACAGGATAAATATGTGAGCAGCTGGCGAAATGTGTAACATAGACCATCTTACCTCCCCAATCTCAAATGGTTTGATTTCTATGATATTTTATATGACTAGTCAGTATAATGACCTTTCACTGACTTTGAAACGAGCCTTGCTCCTATTTTCTTTATTTCCTTTCCTTTTTTTAAGACAAATCTGTATGGAGGCTGAGCTTGCTTTCATCTTCCACAATTCCCTCTTGAAAGCATCCTATGTAATTTTCATATTTTTACTACTTAGAATCAGAATTAATTCCCTCCAGCTACATAAATTAATACTAATAAATAAAATCACAGCATGGCACAACCTACAACATCCAGGAGTAAACCAAAGCCCCATTAACTTGCCAATTTAATACATCGCAGTAATTCTCCTGCTTTCTTGCAATATTCTAAGAGACATTTGCAAACACATTTGTTACAGCTACTGTTATGTATACACATAGGCTGTGTCTACATTGGCACCCTTTTCCGTAAAAGGGATGCTAATGAGACACTTCGGAATTGCAAATGCCGCGGGGGATTTAAATATCTCCCGCGGCATTTGCTTGAACATGGTTGCTGCTTTTTTCCGGCTCGGGGTTTTGCCGGAGAAAAGCGCCAGTCTAGACGGGATCTTGCGGAAAATAAACCCTTTCCTATTCAAGTAGGAATAAGGGATCTTGCGGAAAAAAAGCGGCAGCCATGTTCATGCAAATGTCACGGGGGATATTTAAATCCCCCGCGGCATTTTCAATTCCAAAGTGTCTCATTAGCATCCCTTTTATGGAAAAGGGTGCCAATGTAGACACAGCCATATTGTATCCTAGTAGCTAAAGGGCATCACATTACTAATCACAGGTTAGATTGAACACAACATGTGTGGGGAAAGGGAAAGGCATGATATAGTTGGCTTTCTGGAAAGCAGGGAAAATGTACAGATTATTTCAATAGGTTTATCCTGTGTTATTTATAGTAACTCTTTCTACCCCAGAGGAACTTCCATATCTTTCATGAAGAAAATTAAAATAAGTGATTATATTTTTAAAAATGTACATAATCTTATAGGTCTGTGTTGCATTTCTCCAGGCGAGTAGCATTGTGCCCTACCACAGTCCAGAAAGCACAACAGCGCTTTCTGAAGCAACTTCCTAAACCCTTAATCCCTCTGGGAGTTTTTTAATACTGTTAACACTAAAACGACTCTTGTAGAAACCTTTATTCTTAGACCAAGATTTCAGTTTAGACACTACTACAGTTCAGATGCTTCGGAATTTTTTTAAACCACTATGCAGTTTGTGTGACACTCTATATTTCATACCAGTGCCTCACTAGTTATTCATATCTAATAATTCTTTCACTGATTCAGTCTCAGAAGTAATACCTGGTATTTAAAGACCTTTGAAAGTATCTGGAAACCTTTTAAATCCCAGTTAGTATTTTTGAATCAATATTTTATTTATTTCAGTACTGTAAAAATCAGAAACCAAGACATACAATATAGTACCTCTGAAAGGCAAGCAAATTGTTTCTTTAAAAGATTAATTAATATTGGCAGGGAGGTTAAATATCTTGTCAGAGCTGGGATTAGAACTCAGGAATCCTGGCTCTAAATTCTGTGCTCAGACCATATCACCCCATCTTACCCAACATTAAAGATGTCTACAGTGCAAGGGAAGACATGATTACTGAATAGGTAGATATCTCCATACTAATCTAGCCATCATAGGTAACAGCACCATAGCTGTGTTGGCCCAAGCTAACAACCTAAGTACCAGCCCTTCATATTAAGAGCCCTTCAAATCCATACATCTTGACTTTATATCTGCAGATGTGGAGGAATATATCTGTGGATCATTTTTGTGGATATGGATCAAATCAAAATTTTGCATCTAGAGACATGCACATTTGTAGATATTTGCTTTATATCTGCAGATGTGGATGCAGATATCCGTGGATCATTTTGCAGACGCATTTGAATCTGCACAGGGCTCTATCCATATTGCCAAACCTTGTAGGTGGACATCAAATACTCACCCTATCATAAAACAGGAGATAGCTGTTCCAAGAAAAGCATACGCTAGGATTGACCCCAGGTTTCTGAAGAAATGCCTCTAGAAGAGATAAAAACCACACTGCATTACAGCTGTACTGATCCTTTGTTTTCAAACCATTTTTATGTTCCTTTTACCACATATATTAAGAACACCGCTTAATACAACATCTCGTTTTGTACTACGTCTTTGTGGCAATAAACGTGTGTTTATTCAGCACGTACAACAGTGGGCCTTGATCCATGGCTCCTAGATGCCACTGAAATACTACTACAGGTTCAGCCTCTCTAGTTCGGCATCCTAAGTACCTGACCAGTGCCGAACCAGAGAATTTGCTACACCATGGGAGGTCAATATTGTCCAGTAGCATTACCACTGCTTACTGGGCTCTTAGAAGACATATAGGACTAAACTAGAGCTAAATAACAGCACAGAACACTGAGAGCCAGGACTGGTGGCTGTAAACAAACTTTATGGGACCATGGAAAACTTAGCCACACCAATGATAAGTGGACATCTGGCTAACTAAAATCATGCCAGACCACAGATGTTACTGGACCAAGAGTGCCAGACTAGAGAGGTTCAACCTGTACTACTAAATAATAATTTTAAGTTTATTTTAGCAGCTTTATTAGCAGACTGCTGGTGCTGGCGACTAGGGGATTTCCAAGCTTGGAAGGATTGCTTCCTTTTACATGAGTCAAACAGGCTCATGTTTCCTTCCTTACATATTAGCACTTTGGAGATTTGGCTAGGACAAGGAACAACCTGTTACTCATTTGAAACCTTCAAAAAGGCTTCACATGACCTAATTTGATTTAAGTTCTTTCAAATGGTTTGTGACAGCTACCTTCTGGGGAACTCCAGGGGAAGCTTATGTTCTCCTTGGTGGCCCATGCCAAAAAGCCAAGTTCCCCTACCTCAGCTTTTTGTAAGCCTTGATAAAAACTACCTCACTAAGTTCTGCTTAGGAGGAAGCTCTGATCCATACACAATATGCCAGCAGATACTGGACCCATATCTCTGACATGGCTATAGCATCCATTTCCACAGTCTTCATTGTTTTTTTACAGGAACTCACATAACTAATCATTTATGCTTGTGTGTTCTGAGGTGAGATAGATAGAGACAGAAATTTTACAATGGATCAGTCATTCAAGCACCCTCACATATGAGTGCAAATCTTAAAAACTCGAGGTTTCAGACAAATATTGGGCAAGCCATAATTATATTTTTTAAGTTTTTCTTGTTTTTTGCATACATACACCACAGTATAGGACAGCACAAGAACATCTGTGCTTAATCACTACGCCAATCAACGCTCTAGAAATAACTAAGAGAACAAAGGACCGTGCACAGCAAATGAGGCCCACTAACCTTTGTTCTGCATTACTCTACTTCCACAGCTGTAAGCATTTAAATACAACAATCTTCAAATAAGTGAAATGCAATGAGACATACCCTTTTTAAGCTGTATCCAGCATAAAATATAATTGGAGGGAGTAAAATATTGAAAAACACTTCGGGATCAAAAGTCACCTATTTAAAAAGAATAAAACGTGTTGAAGTCAAGATTTCAGGAGACAAAAAAGATCAGTCATCAGAATATGTTACATATTTTATATATCAGACAAGAGAGTTTGGCATGAAAACTACAAGACAAACAGAGTAAATTGAAGTGCAATCCTTTAATGTGTACCTTTTGCAATAAAGTTAGCTACTGCTGAAACAATATATTAAACATTCTGGTTTACAGTTTGGACACTATGCTGCCCCCACTGCAGTAGAGAACAAACCTGGGAATTGGAAAGGGAACAATATTGGGCCCTGTTTAACAAATCCTCTATTGGACATTTGCCAGGAACTATGCCATGCAAAGTTTCCAAACACTAAGCAGCTCACCTTTCTCAGCATTTCATTATCTTGAACATTATTCAGTTCATGAGGGCCGATTTCCCCCTTCAGGGTATACTCATAATATTTCCCACTAACATTTACTAACAAAGTAGCTGGACTGGTTTGCACTTGACAACTTAAGGTCACATTATTAACGTCACTGGGAACATGAATTCCATATCGAAGGATGACGCCCATCAGAACACCTGGAAATAAAAACACAATATTAGCCATGCAACATCTGCAAATATTAACCATCAAAATGTCACCTGAAGATGTGAAAGATCCACTCTGTATTTGTGCTAGTTCCTCACCTACATCTCAGAAGGAAATTCATCACAACGTCTTCCTAGTATACTGACCTGCAGAATACACAGATTGGTAACACACTGCTTCTCAAGGGTGGAAAGAATTAGCATTTCCTAAGATGTGGCTACTACATCCAGGAAACACACTGCCAGGTGTGGGCAGACATGCCATATACATCTCAATGACTAGTAACTCCCATGTATACACAGGGCTGGCCCGAGCCATTCGTATGCCCAGAGCCCCTGGAGCGCGGCGCCACCCCCGGGCACCCGGCGCATGCGTGGCCCTGCCTCCACCCGGTCTGGCAGCCCCGCGCGGTAGACCGGTCAGCCCGTAGCTTAGCCCGGCTCTGTGTATACACTTTTCTCCATGATGCCTTCCCAAATGATAAACATTTATATAAAAGAAGAGAATAAAATACCTATACTGGTAGGGGGAAATACAGAGAGATTGTTGTGTATTATTTTTATAATATGAGGAACACATAAGTATTATGGTATTAGAGCAATGAAAAATTTCTAGCCAGGATAAAAAGTTGTCTTTCAGGTTGATAAAAAAGGGCAGTATCACTTCTAGAATTCTAGGTGGAAATGAGTCCTGCCAAGGCGTCAGGAAGGTGTTTAGTGCAGTGTAGCATCTGGAAAGGAGGAAGAGGAACACTGATGAGTTTAGTTTCAGACTCCCTTTGTTTGACCAGTCAACTGTGTTGCAGAGAAAGGGCCTATATATGTTGCACAGCCATGCTTACTGCACAAACTCACCAGTATTAAAGTTTGAGTGAAAGGTCCAGCTTTGCCCACAAAAGCAAGGTGACTGAGAATTGCTGAGAGGGGTTCCCAGCATAAAGAAGTTCTTGTCAGGCTTTTGCTCTGGCCTAGATTTGTCAAGTGCCAATCGGGGAAGCGGCGTGAAGCTTCCTTTGCCCTGTCCTGGCCCTGCGAGGAGCCTGTGGCACTTCAGTGCCACGTGCTGCTCGCAGGGTGGGAATAGGCTTCCCACACTCCCCCAACCCCAGGCCCTGATTGGCTTGGGGGTGGAGGAACATACCAAGCCTCTTCCAGGGTAGGGGTGCCTAGTGGGAAAGGGGGCAAAGGGGGTCTCCCATCCCCAGACCATGATTGGTCTTGGGGTGGGGTAGCCCCGCCCCTTCCTGTTTAGGCCCTGCCCCTTCCAGGGCGGCCCAGGGCTACTTCCAAATTTTTGAAGTGGCCCCCGGGCAAAAATTATTGCCCACCTCTGTTCTAATGGATGTAGCAGACTGATATTGTGAAGAATAAGATGATTCTGGGCAACCCCTTCCAACCCAACATATGCCACACCTGTGCTGGTTTTTGCTTTGCTTATTTAGCAGTTTTACAGTATCCACACTCAAATTCTGACAGCTCAGAAATACAGCGTCCAATTATGTGGCAGTCTGAGGACTTCCAGGCAAAGATGAAGCTTCAGAAATTTACTCTGTGTAGATTTTAGCGAGCCACTGTTGAGCAATCAGGGTCTGAACAGTCTCTACCGCACTTCACGAGATTAGGCTCCATTTTTGCTAATCCCACAGTCTGAAGATGAGGCAAATTTCCAATATTTCCCGGCAGCCACAGAGGCCAAGAATGGCCCAGGATTTCCTATGTGAAGAAGTATACATTTAGCGTTATTCAGTCTGCTATTGATTCTCTAAATTCAGTTAAGGAAAGTGCAGATGGAAAAAAAAAATCACATCACAAATTAGTCTAGGATCCAAATTACGTGACTCATCCTCTAGAAATGAAAGGGGAGCACCACTAGGCTGGGATAAGGGGTAACAGTAGGACAAAGAAGACAACTTCAAGAGAGAAGTGGAATCAAGAGAAGGTTTGAAAAAACAGTGTAATTGTCACCTTAGCTGACACACCAGGGATTTCTAGAAATAAAAGCATGAGCTACTATAGCTTGAGCTAGAAAAGTAAGTTTCTGTATCTGGGACTAGAAAACCATCCTCTGTGAATCGGGGGTCCTGTAACAAACACATCAGTGGGTTAACACTATATTTTGCATATTGCTGGAAATAACCTTACTCGCTTTGTTTCAAAATTAATGAGAAAATAGAGCAGCAACGCTCAATAAGATGACTGCATAGAAATCACAACTTTTGGATAGTGTTTTCCACATTTTTTGTTGTTGATGACATTTGCAATAGGATAGCTACCAGATCATTCCCAAGCACCTAATTGTGCAACGCCAATTAAAAATAACAACCGAGAGGAAAACTGAAATAAGAGACATTTAGTGTTAGTTACAATATTCAGTGCTGGAGGCTACTTTTCAGTCTTAAACATACACTTAATAAAGGCTTGTCTAGACTAAGATTTGTGGTGAAGTTATAACTTGACTGTTCCTTCCAGTTCAACTTTAACTCTCTTTCTGTTCATGCTCCTATGCACCTCAATGTGTTGGTTTCAATCACATCATCTCTATTACATTCATGCTCATGAAGCTCCACAGTAAGGCAAGATTCCAATACTGATCTAAAGCAGTCCTCCAGTATTACTACGCAATGCACGACAAGGTCATCTATCTGCCCATCTTCCTGCTCTCTATTTCATCTGTCAGCTCGTGGTTCCTGAAATATCGGCAACTACATAGTGCACCTTACTCTGGTAACTCACTGAGAAGTCTCATTAGCTGTAGAAAATATGATACCAACTCTCACTATGGCTCAACCCAGGACTCCACACTCACAAACAGCCAACCAATATGGGGGGAAGGAAACTAACAAGCAGAAAGAGACGGGGTGCTGCCTTCTGGTCCCATGGAATTGGTGAAGGGATAGACTCTGGGAATTGTCAATCGAGTGTCTTTTCCAGGCATAATCCCCACATGCAAGACAAGCTCCAACAGAAAGCCATGTAAAAATCAGCTGGATCCAGGAACTCAGGGATGCTTCTATAAGGCCATCTCACACCTCAAATAATTATGCTATTTCCTACTCGATCACTTCATTGTAGAGAAGTATTCACAGGTGGAAGTGTAATTTGGAATGGCCAAGTGCTCTTACCAGGTGAACTAGAAGTTTCATCTGTTCAAAGACAAACACGATCAGGGAGATTTCCAAAATGACCCAAAAGATTTAGGAGCACATGTCCTTCAAATGCCCAATCACCCATCCTTAAATCAATGGGATCTCTGTTTCTGAATTCCTCCTGTGCTTCTGAAAGCACCACTTCAAATGTTTGTCCACATTTGGGATTTCTGAATCCTCAATGTAGGTACACTGCACGTGTGCAAACCACACTTTAGAGAACTTCAGCACAGATGAAGTGGTACAAAAATCCCTAAGGGTATGTCTATACTGCCGCCCTAGTTGGAATTAGGGTGGCTAATGTAGGCATTCGAACTTGCAAATGAAGCCCGTGATTTAAATATCCCGGCCTTTATTTGCATGTTCCCGTGGGCCGCCATTTTTAAATGCCCTGTAGTTCGAACTACCTGCCAGCGACTACATGTGACACGGATTAGGTAGTTCAAATTAAAGCTCCTAATTCAATACCGTTACTCCTCATTGCAGGAGGAGTAACACTAGTTCGAATTAGGATCTTTAATTCAAACTACCTAGTCCGTGCCACATGTAGCCGCGGGCAGGTAGTTCGAACTACGGGGCATTTAAAAATGGCGGCCTCCAGGAACATGCAAATAAAGCCCGGGATATTTAAATCACGGGCTTCATTTGCAAGTTCGAATGCCTACCTTAGCCACCCTAGTTCCAACTAGGGTGGCAGTGTAGACATACCCTCAGAGACAAGTCCTAGGGTCAATTCTTACATCATCTCACACACAGACCAGGACCTCCTTTCTAATATTTATGTGTAAGCTATTTATAAGGGAACAACTGCATCTTCTTGACAGTCCATTCTGCAAGATTACCTATTAACTGATTTCCTTACAATGACATTTGTAACAAATTAAACAGCTTTCAGTGTAGGTATCTACACAGAATACTGAAAGTGAAACAGATTGGTAGAATAAGTAATAAAGAGGTCCTTGCATGCCAGAACTACCTAGATCAGCCTGGCAAAAAACAGTCTGTAGGCTGGATCTGGACTGCCAAGCCACTGGATCCAGCCCAGAGACATGGAGAGGAACCCCAGGCACACTTCCTGCTTGCCTCACCCCACCTGCATGCCATCCAGAATTGTAGCCGCCAGGCAGTTTTGTTTTAAAATCTGTGAGCCTGAAGGGGACTGGGGAAGGTTTTAGGAGTTCCTCCCGCCTGCAGCACAATCCCGCAATCCCACTGACTGTTTTTTGGACAGAAACTGCCCAATGAAAGCTGCCTGTTTCAATAACAGACAGCCAAAAAGCACCACGCCCCTTCCCCCTTTCCCTCCCCTATCCCTCCTGGGCTCGTAGTTATTCACAGAGCACATGGCTGCAGCCTGTGCAGGGACAAGGCAGGCAAGGAGACTGCTTCAGGAAAATGCTGGGCTGCTGGCTGGTAAGCCTCCTGGCCACAGCCTGCCTCTGGCATCCCAGCCCTTCCCTCCCCAATCCTCTGCCCCTTTCTTGCACCCATATCCCCTCCCAGATGTGGCATCCCAATCTCCTGCCCCAGATCACAACCCAAACTCCTGCACCTCAATCCCATGCACCCCTCCTGTACACCCCAATTCCATGCCCTTGGTCACAATCCATCTCCCTGCACCCGAATCCAGTGCCCCAGGTCACAACCATCTTCTTTACCCAAACTCCTTCCCTTACCCCAAGCTCTCTTCTGCACCTATCCTCCATCCCAGACCCCGCACCTTCACAATTAATACTATGGAAGAGTGAGGCCCTCAACCATTTTTCAAATTCTTGGAGTGGCTCCCCATAAAAAAAAATTATGACCCATCCCTGACCTAGAACAATACAAGCAGGACGAAAAAAGAGCGAGCCATATTTGGGGTGTACTTTAAGAAAGCCTAGTAACAGGCTACCAAAATATTTTGTTGGCTACCCCACGGCAAGAGATAGAGCAACCACGATGGAGGCACACTCCATGCCTGACAACAGCTGAAATAGTGTTATTACACTGGAATATATATACACAGAAAAATGAGCCTAGGATAGGGATGACAGGTGCTGTGTGACTTTTCACTCATGCATCTGATGGTGCAAGAAGAATGATGATGGTGGTGGTTTAACTCTTTCCAGTGTACTGCAAATACTCCTCCTAACATGGTAAATATTATCTCCATAGTGCAAATAGATAAACTGACAGAAAGACACTACTCAAATCTCAGCCTAAGTATAAACCAGCCACAGAACCTCAAATTCTATTGCCCAATGAGACATATTACGTTGTTACACATCCATTACCACCTAGAAGTTCCCTAGTTTCACTGAGCTGCAACACAGAACTTAGTGTAGGCAGTGGTTAAGAACTCCAGTTCTCCTATGCTTTGTGCAGTTTAGCTCTATATTAGAAATACGACTAACATTCCAGGCCAAGATTTTAAAATGCGTCTAGTGATTTTGGGTGCCCAACTTGAGATACATTAAATGAGGCTAATTTTCAGTGGGAGGAACTCAGCACTTTCTGACACTGAGGATCCACTCGGATGCCTTAAGTTGATCACCCAAAATCACTAATCACTTTGATAAATGTTTGGGTCCCCAGGTTCATACTTTCATAGATGAGAATATGACCTCCAAGATTCATGCAGGAAGAGCTCTGCACAGGGCCGCATTGACACCATCTCCATAAGAGAAATCACAGGGCTGGGGCCTATACTTGTAACCTCTTTACTGTAAGTGTCAGATGGGCAGGAATTATATAAACATTTTAGCGCAGGGCTACTCAACTTTGGAAGCCCCAGGGGCCACAATGATACTCACAGTACATGCCGAGGGCCGCAACTTAAGTGTGGTTGCATATACATGCAAATATATGCAAACAGCTTCTTTCACACTGGCGGGCATGAATACAAAGATTAAGGCAAGACTACACAAGACGCAGGCTCCATTTAAGTCACTCCTGCTGATATTAATAAAATGCAATATTTACCTGATTTCCACCCCTATGACAGTACTTTCAATGAGCAATGACAGTCCAGGAATTTAACTACTAAAACACATATTCCACCTGCATGCCACGTGTTGAGCCCCGCGTAAAATCAAACTACATTGCGGGCCGCAAACAAATGGGCTGCGTGATGAGTACCCTGCTTTAGCGTGATACCTTATGGATTAGGGATGTTAAATTTCGATTAATCAGCTAATCAAGTAGTTGATGGAATATCCATGGGGGGAGCTTGCTATCCCGTCTCGCACCAGATCCCGACTGTTGCACCTCTACTTGAGTCCCCGCTCACTCTGGGTTCCCTGCAGCGCCTCTGCGGGGCTCTTACTACATTTGAAAGAGAGGCGCAGCAGTCAGGATCTGCTTTACTCCCTGCTCATGCCATTTTCCCTGCTGCGCCTCTGTCTCCCCTGCTCCTCTGTGGAGACCGTGCTGGGGGGAAATTGGCTTTTAAGCTAGCTCCCCCCAGCACCAGCTCCCCCCACCCCTACTGCCCCACTGCCCCTGATACAAAGGTGGGGGGAAAGCAACTGGTTGACTAGGCATTTGACTACTCGATAAGCCCAGGCTTATCGGGTAGTCGACTAGTCGCTTTCATCCCTATTCTGGACATTAGATGTGTAACATCTCTAGTCTTGATACAATGCAATATTTTTTTTCAAAAAAGTTTATTAACACGCAGTGACATGTTATATACATACCTCCCAGGCAAAGAACACAATTTAAGATCTGGGCAAATCTCTTTCATCCTCTTAGCCTAGTGCACTTTCCTTCCACAGTTGCCAGAACTATGTGAAATCAGGTGTCTCTGCACTAAGGGACCCTTTTAACAGTTCACCCACCCCATATTAAGAGACCTCTCAATATTTAAAAAAAAAAAAAAACTACTTAAAATACAATGTCTTGCAACTTTTAAAGACACACACTTCAGCTATTATATAGGCTTTTCAAAAACACCTGGGTTAGGGTTAGGTCAACCCCTCATGGCCAGATCTTTCTTATGCAGGAATGGTACAGTAGATGCTGATGTCTCATTGAGGGAGACCCCAGATGGGTATTTTCCTGGTCAGTCTCACCATAGATCTGATTCCATCTCACGCAGAAAGTATATGACTATATAGTGAGTAGGCCACTCCAATGCAGGAAGTGCTATGATAGGGTTGCCGGGTGGGTGCTAAATCACGGGTGTTGGGTGCAAAATGCATGGAGGGGGGTTGAGTCCTGCCTGGTCTCACGCACGCAGTGTTCCCAGGGATGGGTCTGACACGGAGTGGGAGATGGGGTTGTTTGCTGGATGGCTCAAAAGGATGGCTGGGTCCTGAGAGAGTCTCTCACCACAGGAAGTTACCCGGCAGACCTTGTGCAGTCAATATGCCAAGACGTGGGTGTCAGAGGGGTGGGGTAAGTGTTGGGTGCTGTGCGCCAGCTCCAAGGGTGAGTCTGGCTGGCTTCTGTGTGGCAGCTCAGTAGCCAAGCAGTCGGGAGGGTGTGGGGTATCCCTCACGGTAGACATGACCAGGTTGGCTTCAAGCAGGAAGTGCACATAGAGGGTGCCCACTATCAACTGGTTGCTGGGTGGCAACTGAGAAACTTTATGTGACAGTTCAGGGGCTGGTTACTGGGGATGGTGGGGGAGCAGGTGCTATCTCCGGGGAGGGGCGGAGGGGACTGTTGCTAGGCAGCAGCCCTGGGCCGGAGGGCAGCTCTGGGGGCTGGTCCCTAGGCAGCAGCGGAAGGGTGGGGGTGTGGAGCC